CGCAGACGGAAGGCAGCCACGTCGGAATGAAACGCGGGAATATTCATCAACAACCCAGCTTTTGTGGTAACACAGAGCGCAATAACATTTAGCAATGCCACACCCTGCCACCATGCGCTCGACTCCTTGACTATTCCTTAGTCTTCAATTTCGGGGGGTTGAAAATCATCTTTCCTCTCATGAACGACATCCATCCACCACACCATAGTCTCTCACCGCTTGGGCCAACGACATGCCGGGGTGATTCTGGCGCAAGGCCTCCAACGCCGGCGGTGCGGTCTTATGTCCCATCATGAAATTGCCAGTGCCAGTGCCGGTGCCAGTGCCGCCATCTCGCGCCAGGGGCGACCGACGTTCCGGCGACAGGTGGCCCTGAGGCGCATGGCTGGCAGCCGCCGGCGACTGTGAGGCCGCTGGCGCCAGGTAGTCCTTCGCGGGCCCTATGCCGTCCCGTGTCGCAATCAGGGAGGACACGTCAATCGAAGCAGACCGCTTGTGGCGATTGGACGACGGCGGCGCTGACATGGGCCCTGGAGGAGCCCCTGGCCCTGCCACAGCCGCAAGACTCCCCTGAAGTGGCCACCCACGGTTTCAAACAGGGTTAGATAGGGTCAAATAGGAAGGGTGAGCTACATGAAGCGCGGCGGCTTCTGCGCAACGAAGGCAGCTTCAGCGGGGAACGCGGACGCCGAACGGACAAAAACGGTATTAATTGCGCTCCTGTCGGCGCTACGGACCCCCTGGCGGGGCGCTGAACGGTACAGTTCACACGCGGCCGCTGAACAGCGGGAAGACGATTTCAGCATCAGACCTACCCGCCTGCGCCCTAACGAATGCCGTGAATGCGAAATTACCACTTCTTGTAACGTAGGTCAAACAAGTGGTCAGACCCGAAGAAACCCATCCGAACAACCTGCTGTCTATCCGACGTGCTGTTCGAGCCCGACGCCGCCTCGGCCCATAGGTTCGCGTGCCCTCCCGCCGTGAAGCCATGGGCCGACGGAGACACAGACACTCCTCCAGTTGCTGTGGGCCCCATGCAAGCGCTGTGGGCGTGGGAAGCATCGCATGCTGCTGTGCTGCTGTGCTGT